GTCACAAAGATGAAGCTACAAGGTGTTGCTATGGGCGGGGGATGAGGGGTTCTCAGTACGTGTGAATTCCTGTTCTGATTACTCAATATGTTGTGGTCATGTTCGCAATTCAATGGGCTATCAAAATTGCCCTAGGTTTTTCAACATTTGTGATCGTGGTTTCCGAAAATCTTTTGGCAAAATTTAAAATTAGACAAGTATGATCCCGTTTGGGCAATTTGAAAACGTTAGTACCTTATTCCTTTATAAAATGGAAATGCTATTTGTTTTTTATATATATATATATATATATATATATATGGCACTGGTTTTTTAAACTATGACCAAATACCTAAATGGCCCTTTGAGAGCCTGAAACTTTTCAAAGATAAAGAATTAGAAATCAATTACAAATTTTTCTTGTAGCATGGACCTAGATTGACCTCCCATAGCTTAATGAAAAATGTTCAACATTGCTTTATGTGCATCAGCTATCCCTGAACAGCCAATTGTTTACGGAATTTTGTAACAAAATTGACATACCTTTTTGGTTGGAGCCAAAAAAAATATATACCCACAAACAATATGTTTTTTTTCTATTGATGATTAATGAGCATGGGTGGATCTTAAAGAAAGTTAACAGTAATCTGAATTAACTCCTGTATTTTGATGGAACAGTGCAATTGAAAATGGTGTTTCGGACGTTACATCTTCCGTAAACAATGTAGACCCTCATTTAACCCACTAGAACAATAAATTAATGAGATTGTTTATGGTTTGAATAAGCTTATTAGTTACTCTAAGTCATTAAATTAAAAGAAAATATAATTTAATTGTAGTGGCGCTTATACTAGAAATATACTCAAAATTTGAAAAAGTTGTCTCATTTTCCGTAAACAATTTTGTAACGTCCGAAACAACTTTCAATTTGAAGTAGCAGAAAATATATGAACTACACAACCTTTTTTTGTAACATTTGTTGAACATTTCATGGCGGCTACCCACCCCAAAAAAGAAATTTGCAATACATCATTACAATACTATTTTATAGTTAAAACCAATTTTCCGTTAACAGTTGTAACGTCCGAAACAAATGTAACGTCCGAAACAAAAAATACCAAATAAATGATGATAATCCATATTTGAGGGTATCTGGAGTGAATAAATCATTATGAAATATGTTATTATAAATCTTAACATAAATCAAGACACAAATCAGGTCTTTCAAATCAAAATTGTTTGTGTAAGCTCAAGAAGGGTGTTTCGGACGTTACACTATTTGATTGTTAACACATAGTTTGCAAATTTCAACTAATTATCGATCATATGTGAAAGTTACGATTTCACAATGCACACTCCTGATAAAAACACTATTTTGAGAATTTCATTTAGATCTAAATATAAAAATATGAAGAAATATGATGCAAAAAATGAAATTTTCCGTATAATATCTTAATTTTTCTGCAAATTGACTTATAAAACATCAAATATTGAAGCCACACATTGTGATGCAAGGCATGGCTGGCTGCTTTAGTATATCCTTAATTGCAATTTATCAGAAAAAATCTCAATAAAAGTGACTCATAAAAAATATTCAGCCATTTTAACAGCACTTTCTGGTATGCTGTTAGCACGTTTCGGACGTTACATTAAACTGTTAACAGACATTTTCATACTTTAACTAGTTCAAATGAGAAGCAAAGATAGATGTGAAAATAGCCAATTTCAATTTTTCAACCTCTCCTCTTGCTATTTACATTGCTGTGTGTTTGCAAATCATCAGGTTTTCATTTTTACAGAGGTTGTTTCAAATTATGTCATATAACCAAAGATTGTATGGTCAATCTAAACTATTTGGTAGGTTACAAAAGCTCAAAATTATCCACTTAAGCAATACACAGTGTACATGTACATGACACGGGTATTGATAGAGGTACATAAAGTTGATAAAATCAAGCAAATTAAAATGTTTGTCTAAAAATTTATGAGAAATATGGATTTTCATTTGAAAATACCTTTTTAAAAGGGCACTCAGTACACGTAACTAATCTATGTAGAAAGTACATACATCTATAAAAGAATAAGACATTACATTAATACCTTATTTCATGATCCTAAACATATAGTCTGGGGCGGATCCGGGAATTTCTTCCCGGGGGGGGGGGGTACACACGAGGGGTGAGAGGACATATATGTATTTTTGTATTGGTCCCCAAAAAACGCAACGACTCAGCCAGCCGCTGAATAAGCGGGGGGGGGGGGGGGGTTGGTAAGAGCACATTTTTTTTTTTTTTTGCTCCCAAATATTTGAACATCGCGCCGGCCGCAAATTCGCTCAGTGGGGCGGGTGGGGGGAGGAGTGCGGACTAATTTATTTCATTTTTTATTTTTTTGGGCCGGGGGGGGGGGGCACGTCCCTGTTTGCCAGTACATTTTGGGCGAATTTGGGTCTGATTTCAACATTTTTGTTTTGGCCGGGGGGGGGGGTACATGCCCCCTGAGCCCCCCCCCCCTGGATCCACCACTGGTAGTATCTTCCTCAAATGTATGCATACATACAAAATGTATAAGCTAGTGTAAAATATAAATGGGCTGTCCGTTTTTATTTTCCCTTTATGAAATGTCAAAGTTGGGGGTGCACCGCTGCGGCCTTATCGCCGGTAAATACGGTTCATGTTTAACCTACACTGTATACTGTTTGTCACCTGTGAAATCGGCACAGCAAGAGTTAAGATCTATCAACCAACCAACCAACCAATCAACCAACCAACCAATCAATCCATCCATTCATCAATCGGTCATCAAGTAAATAAATAAATAAATACTTATTTAAGAGCATTACAAAATGTTGTCGTTTGAAACAGCCTCCTAATACAAATAGTGGTAAAGGATGATTGTTACTACAGTAGTATTATAACCTAAAACATACAAAATTGTAAAATACATCTTAACTGTCTCATTCTTGAGATGTACATAAATTAGGATTCACTTATTTCTTATTACTTACAGGACTGGGGGTACTTTTTTATAGTTTTACTTTTAAAAAGATTTGTCAATGTTTTGCTTACATACATGTATGTGTTAGTGATATTATTGAATGACACACTATATAGTTGAAGAACATTAGCAAGCTGATTAAACATCTATTGTAGAGTTTATAGAAATTGATGATCTCATTGAAATGTTAACATTGTGTAACATCCGAAACAAACCATAGCATGCATGTACATTTCACACTGTTGTTCATAACATGCAATAAAGAGTATGTTTCTAAATGAATTTTCTAAGGAGTTTTGATTACTACACTTGCTATTAGCTTCATATTTCACTCTGTTAGATCACATAAGCATTTTTAACTACCGGTACACGTTCTTGAAATGAATAATATATATACCTTACATAAATTGAGTGCTCGATGAAGACAAACTTGGTATACATGTATGTGCTAAACTAATTAAAACTGCACAATTTTTTTCCATAAATGTTACAGAAGTATTTTTCTGCAAACAGTTAATGAAACTGAGGTCAATAATACGTAAAGAAAAGCAAGTAACTTGAATAAAGTTATAATGTTAACAGTGTGTAACGTCCGAAACATCAGTGGTGTGACATATGACAGTTATTAGGCAATGCACTGGCTCCCAATTTTGGGGCATGTATTTACCTTATATCATCAGTTTTTATAATAAAATAAGTTTGACCTAAGAAAAAGCATATTACCTATTGAAATAAAAACTTGTTATTGTCAAAACCCTAATTTAGACCTATTTTTCACTTTCAAGGGATACAAAATCTGTATTTGTCAAGATAGAAAGTCAACAATTTGCATGGATAATCTCTGAAACATATTCTTAAAGACCCAACATATTTAAAGGTGTAGTTAATAGCAAATGAGTTTTATATCACAGTTATTAGATATGCTATGGTTCACAATAAAATTGTAAAAACTCAAGTATTCATATCTGGTGAATAAATAAGGAGATAGATTAAGGTCCAGAATTTGCATTTCTCAAAAATATGATTAGTCCTGATCCTAAAAATACAAGTTTGAAGTGAGTAAACATATTTTTATTTTGGACCCATTTGTGGACACATTTGGTATAAGTTAAAAAAACCAGTGCCATATATATTTTTAAAAAAATTCTTCAAACTTCAAGCTCCACCCCAAACCTCCAGATCTCATTCCCCTTCACTATGAACATGACTGACAAAGAAAGCGGACAAAATATACAGTTCCTCATGTAGACAAAGGAACATCCCTTCACTGCTATTATGTAAAAATGTGTAGAACAGGTGTCACATGCATATTCACCTTTTTACATAATAGCAGTGAAGGGATGTTACTTTGTCTACCTGAGGAACTGTATATTTTGTCTGCTTTCTTTGTCCGTTATATTCATAGTGCTTGTGACATCATCTGTCAGTCATCAATGAGATAACTTGAGAAAGTGGCATGTAACTTTGCCAAAGTTGACCACCTGTTAGAATATCACGAACAATAGCAGTATATAAGTTGCTATGTCAGACATGTCAGACTAAACTAATATTCTAGAATAGACAATGGTTTGTAATTTGTCCCCAGCTTAGCACACGTTCATAATAGAATTGCATGCTTCAATACATATATACAATACCTCATCATTGCCTTTGTCTTCCTGGTGATGCTACAGCATGTCTGACATAGCAACTTGTATGTTGCTATTGTATTACGTATTGTAACAGGTGGTCGACTTCGGAAAAGATACATACCACTTTCTCAAGTTAGCTCATTGATGAATGACAGATGATGTCACAAGGGGAATGAGATCTGGAGGTTTTGGGGGTGGAGCTTAGCAAGTTTGAAAACAAAATATTTCAAAAAATACTTAAAAATCTATGAAACAAATTCAGAAGTTTACATATCAAAATATGAGATGTATGCAGGACTGCACATCAACAGGAATACACTCGTATTTCGATTTCATGGGCCCTTTATAAGGGCAAGGCCTACCCCTCATGACTGCTTCCTGTTCTGATTAACCCTACAAACCTGGTCGGCCAGGTGCAGGTGGAGGAGGCCTGTCTGGCATGCTCATGCTTTCCTGCCCCCTGTTATCTCGGCCCGTATCCACTCCTCTCATCGGATCATTCGGTACGTTGAGTTCATCAGATTGGTTATGCCGGGGACGACGTGAATTCGACCTCTTTGAACTAACTCTGCCGGCTACCATGTACCATAAATTGGATACGTCCCGCCGATTCCTCACAGGAGACTCATTCCCCACAGGAGACGGATTTCTCGCCTTTATGGCACTGAATGGGTCGAAATGAAAGTACCAAGATCAACCATTTCAATCTTTAATTAAGTTTCTTCCAGTGAAGGGTATCACTTTTACTATCACTTTTTAAAGTCAGTGCATTCATGTATATTCTTCAAATTTTAAATTTGTATTTAGCATTTATTGTCCATTTCTGGAAGAACTTAAATTGGGCAATGTTATGAAAATGGAAGAAGTGGTTGTTTCTAAAACAAAATAAATGGCCCAAATAGCAGAATTTGATTGATTGATTGATTGGTTCATTAATTCAATAGTATCCTATCTCTTGTAAATTACGAGATAGAGAGAAAACAAAGACAACTGTGAAATGAATAAACAAGTTACATCATTACAGAGGTAAATTACTGTAAAAAAGATGTTGATGTATTTCCCTAGGTACTTACCAACTTATAATGAGAATGAGAATGATAAGTGCCGTGAATCCTGCTAAACCACCAAGTGCAGCTATTAATACTATCGGTTGTGACCCTGCAGAATTGATGAAATAAAAATTGGCTGAGTTTTCATCAGGATGGTTTGGATAATTTAGATAAGAGTTCTATGACACATCCAAAATCATTTATGTGTGTGATAGACACATCTCTCAGACGAGTACTGACAGACTGAAGCAAAAGCTGCCAATTTCTAATAGCCAAAGGATAAACCATTCAGAATTGCCTTTCAATTGAAGTTGGACAACCTCAATTGAAAGGCAACTTCTTCAAGATGTCTGCCTTAAATCAATCCTCACAACAGTGCTTGTTTATATGATGCTAACAATAAATGCTGTTACCTGAATAAGAACCATTTCTTGTTATACTTCTCATAAAATCATGATTTATCAAGCTCCATTTCATGAACCTTTTGTACCTCTGGTAGAAATCGGGCATATACAGACAGGGCATATGCATACATATAAACGTATATATGTATATATATATATATATATATGTATAAACGTTTTTTTTAATGAGCTTTCATACATAGCAGTGCTTGCATACATAGCAATTGAATAGCACTGGAAACTACAGCACACATTTTGGTAAAATAACAAGTGTGATAGTGTATAAATTAACATGTGACTATGTTCGAGCAATGATTAGGGTCTAGGAGTGAGTTATATACAAAAAAATAATGCCATACTTGCCTCGACACTTGACTGGAACACATGATCTCATCACACTTTCGTCTGAACCAGGAGCCGGTGAAATAAAGAAAGGCGGGTCAGATGATGGGTTTCGTGAGAGGATGGCGCACACGTACTGGACGTCTCTGCATACCGCTAAAGTCAGGTTAAGAGTCCCGGAGAGTTCCTCCAGCGTGGTTGGAACACCAGGCGAAACAATGCCCGTTCTTGACTGAAAGGGAGTCAGGACCACCTGACAATATATCATACAGTATTAATAATACAGATAACACAAATGATGACAATTTACAACCGATCAAAACGCTTACAATGCTAGTATTACCCGGGTTACTGGACTTCATTACTATTCCGCACATTACAGGAACATTCCGCCTAGCCGCCTTTTTATGGGCCCACACGTGATAATCTGATCACACTGACCTACAGTGTATGCATCCTATTGGATACCCATTAGCATCTACATATGCCTTGCTCAAGGACAATAACATCATGTTCATGGAGCTACTGTGATATAGTGGGTTTTTTTAATTGACTTTCAATCCAACGGTTGAGGGTTCATATCCCAGCCCGTTCACTAACGTCATTCGGCGAGACATCAATCTGCATTAGCCACTAGTCTCCACATACCAAAGTATAAATGGGCGCTGTGTAATAGCAAGGGGAGGTGAGATAAAAGCAACTGTGCTTCACAAAGGTCCCTACATTATACAGCATTATCTTTCTTGGTGAAGACACAGATATGTAAACCGCAGTATACTTGTATCGTTTCTATTTTGTTGTATATTTTTGGAAAAGTAGTTTTCATCAATATGTTTAAACGGTTCTTCGTGATGATGAAACGTAAACTTACCGATGAGCTGGGAGAAGAAACACCGTTTCCTGATATGTCACTTGTGCTGTAATAAAAACTGACTGCCCACAAGTTGTTTCCTATCACACTGCCACCCTCTGGATTAGTGCCGATGTTGAGGTCAAAGGTCACCTGATGTTGGTTCCTTCGTTCCACGATGGGGTTGCCGCTGGTTATGGAGATGGACGTGCCTGTGACTTCAACACCTGGTGAGGACATGAACAAGAGTCAAAGATGTTTTTTTTTCAAATGCTGTATAATTCTGCCGGGACTTCGTCATAAAGGAATATAAACACATATGGATAAAAGTTTTGCATGCGGCCTAATACCATTTGCGGAATATGCATATATGCATATATCGGGTCCATGTAATACAACAATAATCCTAGCAAAATATCATGCCATAATGTTTTTGTAGTCCATACATATTTCTGTGCGCAGTGCATGTGACTTTCAGCAAGATTGATGATTTCAAACCCTCATAGCATACACAAATTACTATGTACCCCATGATAAACTTTTCCAATTGCTTCTAGAGAGTGTTTATCTCAGTGTGCTTGCTTGACCAGAACTCGTCATTATCATTAAAGGGATAGTCGAGTTCTGTTTCAGAGGGCGCTACACAAAGTAATTTATTGTGAGATAATGAAAAACTGAGTGTCAAATTTGAAAGAACATACACTTTAAATGACAAAATCATCTTTGTTTGATCAAAATCGGTTCAGAGACGGCTGAAATATCCATAAATATAACGATTTCTAATATTTGTGTACCACCACAAATATTCGATAAATTGAAAAATAAATTGAAAACAGAACTCAACTATCCGTTCAAATGAAGCCAGTTGAATGCGGTCGAGTGGATACGTCGCCAGACTGTCGGTCACAAGGTCCGCGGTTCGAGTCCCGCCGCACTAATGTCCTTTGGCAAGACCTTGATCTACATTTGCCACACTCCACCCAGTAAATGGGTACCAGGTAGGAAATTATTACTTGAAATGATAGAGCGCCGTATGGCAGCCGTGCTAAAGCCAGGTAATAATCGGGAGTGCCAGGAGGGTCAAATCTGATTGACATGAGCGCTATACAAGAACCCATTATTATTTATTTATTTATTACCTCGTTCACAAAACTCTTCACCGTCCTGCACTGAGCAAATTTGGCAGGTATAGCTAATTCCGCTAGGTAGGCAGGTGGCACCGTTTCGACACGGTTCGTTGATGCAAGGGTTGGAGTCTAAAAAGATAAGAAAAATAGAACTCGTGGCATATAAGGGTGGCAAAAATACCTGTGACAACTATAGTTATTTCTTAAATCTTTGATACCAGTATTACAGAATTGAGAATTCACTGATCTGAGATTTTTTTTCGTTATTCTTTCTTTCTTTCTTCCATGTTTTCAACCATAATTTGATGAAATCTAATGCTTTTATATCAGGTTTATATAATAGTGTATATATTTTGTTTCCATTTTGAAAGAGCCCCCAGAGCAAGTTGTACAGCAATATTAAACAAATTAAGTTGTATTACACATTTTGGTGACTCAAAATACAGATTTGGATTCAAGAGATATATATTTCCTCCTCGTAATCAAATGCCTTCATATTCTAAATACGAAATACAATTGTTTAAAGGCATCGTTTTAACAATGTTAATTATGAGATGCATGGCCCTACGACCGTGTTATCAGTGTTTGTGATACGGTGTAATATTAAAGCCCTAAACAAAATTGCGCTTAAAAAAGATCATGAAGTTGCTCAAAAATTAAAAAAAATCTTTGAGTGACCGGTTTTACCACCCTCGTTTTTTCCAATAAACTGTAGTGTTATAAAAAACCGTTAGGAAAATGACAATTGAACTTTTGATTTCAAATCATAAGTATATTGATAATCAGACAGGCGATCGGCTTGTAAAAGTCATGGGATTCCTGACTTACACAGAGGTTTATAGGCTAGTCCCATATACAGCTTCATGTGTACAGCGCTTGTTACCTTTACCAAGACCGGGCCACAGCCTTGCAGTACACATCAATACTTATATGTTACATACATGGTTAACTTTTTCTGAACGGTTCCACACCGTTTCTTCCACAATGCAATTCCATGACCAGAACTCAACTTTATCTTTAATACCTCTATCAATTTTAAATATGAAGGGGCCCATGGTGTAAGCGATTCTTGTAGGCCCCAACGGGTAGTAAATTTCATAACAGTGTTACAAAATAGAGGGAACGAACAATTATTAGTGTCAATCACAGTAATAGAATTAGATTTTGTACAATGTTAGGGTCACTTTCACTATCATAATGATAATTTAACAAATTTACATCACTTTAATAAATTCGCATTACTTGTAGAAACTTGCATTACCTATATACGTCTTCATTACCTTTACGCTTTAGTAGCACACGCACCCCGCATAGACACGCCTACACAGTACACATACACAAATGAACCCACACTCACACACTTTCCAAAATGCTCTGCGGCTCCTGAGTCCGTCTATAAAGAAACTTACCGATACTATAACATTTTCAAAATTTCACATTTCCATTTAGTTCATAAACCTATACTTTGCATATCGATAACTACTGTAAATACGTTTTTGAGTACCTAATTCAAATACAAATATACACAATTAAAAAAATCTCACCAATGCTATAAGTTATGTTGAACCCTTTGCTTTCAATAGTATGATCTGATTTCCACCCAAATGTCATCTGGTTGGTATCAAAACTGTAAGTCCCAAGTCGGGTCTCATTGCCGTTGAAGCCAAAATTACTAGGATCGCTGATATCAAAATCTGGGCCTGTTGTATAGAAGAGGTCGTCCTTATATATTTCACTCATGAAGGAATTCAAGTGTATGAAGATAGTGGTAGCTGCGGGGATCCGGATCGAGTATATGCAGAGCTCGTTGATTCCCGCCCGATCCGGCCAATTGGGGGAGGTAAGGAGACCTGTGGTGCCAGTGTATGTCCAACTGCAAGTAACGGGACTAGGGCCAGGTGTCGGTATACCTGCCATCGTTTATCGGGTGAGAAAAGGTTAAGATAATGTTAACATGTATACGACCGTAACTTCCCCAGGCAATGTCCATGTACGTCAGCTTTCGAAATTTTGACGGAAATGGGAGAATATTAAATGACACTCAAAGAAGGGCATTGAATATGCACTTTGGTTCATTTTTCAAAAGGATGTTGTGATCGTGATAATTCCAGTTTACTAATATTAATGATAACAAACCTTTCTTGTAAAGTGCATATTGCATTTCATAAATAAGTCCCTAATGCGCTTTTAAGAGAGCTTGGATATTATTATCCTAGCTTTGATACTGATGTTCAAATCTGAGTATGATTTAACGCGTATTTAGGTATTTAGCAATCTTCAAAACAACCTTGCCCCCCCTTTAGATCCGCATTGTCACGCGTCATGTAATAATAATAATAAATAATAATAATAATATTTAATTTTTATATAGCGCTTAATACAAATGTCTCTAAGCGCTTTACAAATATATTATTACCCCGGTCATTGGATTCAGTGCTTACCCGCACACAATGTGTGCACAATCTCCACTCCCTGGGGAGCATTCCAGCCAGTCGCCATTTTACAAGCGCCACTTGCTAATCAAACCACATTAGCTTTCGCATCCTACCGGGTACCCATTTAACACCTGGGTGGAGAGTGGCAAATGTAGATCAATGTCTTGCCAAAGGACATTAGTGCCGCGGTGGGACTTGAACCGCGAACCTTGTGATCCACAGTCCGATGACATATCCACTCGTAGACAAAAGAACAAACTTATTCTTATTTTTGGCATTATACCCCCCCCCCCCGATCCCCAGATAAACATCTGCTAGATATCCGCCCGTACTGCATCTCTGTGGATTGAATCCACTCCGCAAAAGGTATTCATGAAGGACCTCCAGTGATTTTTCTAAAATGCACAAAGTGGGACGTCTCCATAATTTTATAAAAGATCTGTGGATATTCGGGGGTCATTTTACAAATGCTACCTCCTTAAACAAACATTAAAAAGTATTCCCACTTCATGGACAACAGTGTGATTATGATAACTTACTATCGACGTTGAAGTCACAGTTTCTTCCTATCCATTGTAGTGAACACAGGCAAATATATCCGGGTTCCAAGATGGCCAGTTCACACGTCCCACCATTTTGGCAGGGGTTGATGCTGCACCCTGTTAGGAGTAAAACAGATAAATGTTTTGAGCTGCAATATTTTTATTATAATTATGATGATGATGACGATGATGATGATGACGAAGATAATGATGACGATGATGATGATGATGATAGTAATAATAATAATAATAATCATGAAAAAATATATTAACAATGATAATGATAATAATAACAACAACAACAATAATAATATTAATAATAATGATAAGAATAACAATAATAAAGTGCTTTAATAAACAGCAGTACAACCCAAAATGTGTTCTCAGGGGGCTTTACAAATATCAATACACATATTGATAAATATGATTTAAAAATATAATATGATTGATCGAATCAGTATAAACTGTTGTACATGTATATAAAGCGTAAAGGCTAAATGGAGTCAAGCTGAACGATGGCCAACACTCTGCGAGTTCACCACTGTCGATCTTGTTAACCCAGATTAAATATATAATTTCACGTCGTGTTAAATGTCACAAAACTTTCATTAAAATTAGAGATTTTAAAGGAATGTTTGAAAGATTTTAAACGATGATTCATTCATTAAGCCTACTATCATGACTATAGTTTGTTTATGTTCAAGATGTTCATGGAGTTCAATATCTTCTTATCGCGATATGAAAAAAGGATCATCATCATAAATTTAACAAACTTGAAATAGGCAGATAGTGCTTCGATACATCCACGTAGCAAATTCATTGAATTATAAACATACATATCATATAGGTCTGTACGGAATTAACATATTTTAAATTATTTACCTTCCGCCTTTATTACTGTAAAACATGACAGAATTACGATGAGAATAAAAGGCCCCTTATGCTCCATCTTGTAACTGCAAGAGACAAAGAAAATTATAGAATGGTTATGGGGGAGATGTGCAATGTTGCATTTACAAAGCTATTCGATAGTGAGCTTTCTTGTGTCATGGGTACATGCACGATCGATCGTTGTGAAATTATGGGACTAGATGTAAAGTTTGTCATGAACCAGTTTATTTTCTCACTGGGACCGAGATTAGGGAGCGTTTGAATGAAAGAATAGCAAAAAAAGGGGTCATACTACAGATTGAAAGAGAGAGAAGAGAGAGAGAGAGAGAGAGGGGGGAGGTGGAGAGTGTGAGAGGGCAGATTCAAGAGGACGAGTGTGATTGAATTAGGTTCCTTTTAAAACAACATGTTCAATCTATATCTTTATCCAATTTCTGACAAATGAAAGCGAATCTATGAAAGCTTGCATCTCGACCCAAGATTCCAATACGAGATAATTTATCACGAAAGTTTTTTAAAAGGCAAGGCACTACTCAAATGTACATTTAAAAAAGGATAAATCATATCTCAAGGGCAATCTTTGAAGAAAAACAAAACAGGTGTGCTTATTTGCATTCAGTTTACGCGATCATGCGTGTGTTTAGGGTTATTTTCTTCTCAAAATATCATGTAGCCCGAAAATGTGGATGTTGGGGTATTTTTTTCATGAAAGGTGTACACCGACAACCCTACCCGACGCCTAGTTCCGTTGGAACGAAGTAAGCCCTCAGGCTCGTTCAGAATAAACCCTCGCACACACCATTCGTACTAGCCTTTTGACAAGGTCTCGTGACTCTGGCTATTTTCCACCCCAATCCGCTGCTAAGATGAGTCTAGAGACCCGGGGTGAACGCCCGATCGAGTGGCTATAGCCACAAGGCCTTTCGGATTCTGGCTTTTACTGCTCGTATGAATTATTCATGACTTTTGATTTATTAACCAATCAGAATGGCCATCTCCCAGTTGATTTCGTTCGTCATTCGTTCATTATCAAAACATGTAAGAAAAGGTAGAAGACGTAAACTAGTTTTGTTTATGAGATAAACGTGAGATAATTGGACTTTCCCTGTATGTAAAATGAACCAGACCAACTAGTTTCGTTCAATGTTATAGGTATTCGTACTACGTAGAGTTTACTGTGAACGTGATGGATAATATATGCTGACGTCACGCGATGATCGATACGTTCGCTGATTGGACGCTCACATTTCGGTAGAAAACTCCAGCTGGAAACAGTGGTTTAACATAAAAAACCCAAACCAGATTACTAAAGGCCACTTGCCTGAAGCCAATTGCTCTGGCGTTCACTCGGGTTTTCGCGATTAGTCTCTTTTTTAGTCGCTCGGCGTCTATCAGACATGAGGCTTGTCTAAAGGCTCCATTCGTACACGGACACCCTTACATCCACCCTCTCATGCCAGCATAATGTTAATATTTGTTTATTTTGCGGTTTTTGACTTATAAATTATACAATTAAATAGTGGGGTGGATGCCATATAATTTAAGCGCACACAAGATTTAAAGTCACATTCCATAGTTTTGTATTTCCTGAAGCTGTCCAGCAAAACACAAAGTAAATCTATGACAATGATTGTACAAAATGTTACTTCGCCCTCTCACGTTTACTGATGAATTATGCTGACAAAGACTCATTGAGTTTTTTCGAAGGTCATTTTTAATGCAGCATTATACAAGAATGTCAATAACGCAACTGTGCCATGACATCCATTTCATCTATCTCTTGACCCAGCACCCTCTCTCTCTCTCTCTCTCTCTCTTTTCCACCTCTCTCCCTCCCCCTCTCTCTCTCTTTCTCTCTTTCTTTCTCTCTCTTTCTTTCTCTCTCTCTTTATCTCTCTCTCTCTCGCCTCCACCCACACTCCCTCCCCCTCTCTCACCATATCTTAATGCTTCATTTACAAATCACGTAAAGGCCCAATCAGGGATTAAAAACTAATCTCAGCATATATCTGTAGTAGCGAAATGATTTAATTTCAGATTTAAAAAAAGCGGCGTCTATCAGACATGAGGCTTGTCTAAAGGCTCCATTCGTACACGTACACCCTTACATTCACCCTCTCATACCAGCATAATGTTAATATTTGTTTATTTTGCGGTTTTTACCTTATAAATTATACAATTAAATGGTGGGGTGGGTGTCATATGATTTAAGCGCACACAAGATTTAAAGTCACATTCCATAGTTTTGTATTTCCTGAAGCTGTCCAGCAAAACACAAAGTAAATTTATGACAATGATTGTACAAAATGTTACTTCGCCCTCTCACGTTTACTCATGAATTATGCTGACAAAGACTCATTGAGTTTTTTCGAAGGTCATTTTTAATGCAGCAAGAATGTCAATAACGCAACTGTGCCATGACATCCATTTCATCTATCTCTTGACCCAACACCCTCTCTCTCTCTCTCTCTCTCTCTTTTCCACCTCTCTCCCTCCCCTCTCTCTCTCTCTTTCTCTCTTTCTTTCTCTCTCTTTCTTTCTCTCTCTCTCTCTTTATCTCTCTCTCTCTCTCTCGCCTCCACCCACACTCCCTCCCCCTCTCTCACCATCTCTTATTGCTTCATTTACAAATCACGTAAAGGCCCAATCAGGGATTAAAAACTAATCTCAGCATATATAAAGTCACATTCCATAGTTTTGTATTTCCTAAAGCTGTCCAGCGAAACACAAAGTAAATCTATGACAATGATTCTACAAAATGTAACAACACCCTCTCACGTTTGCTGATGAATAATGCTGATAAGCCTCATTGAGTTATTTCGAAGGTCGTTTCTAATTCAGCATTATACAAGAATGTCAATAACGCAACTGTGCCATGACATTCATTTCATCTATCTCTTGGCCCAACACCCCCCCCCCTCTCTCTCTCTCTCTCTCTCTTCCACCTCTCTCCCTCCCCTCTCTCTCTTTCTCTCTTTCTTTACCTCTCTCTCTCTCTCTCTCTCTTCCACCCACTCTCCCTCCCCCCTCTCTCTCTATCGCTCTCTTCTCTCACCATATCTTATTGCTTCATTTAGGCCTAATCAGGCATTAAAAACTAATCTCAGCATATATCTCTAGTAGCAAAATTATTTTATTTCAGATTTAAAAAACTCTGGTTTTCTCTCTTTGAGTGAAAAATTTAAGCCCTCATTTGGTACACAGTAAAAGGGCGTATTATCTTTATTTATAAGATGACGTGGATCGTAATCAAATGATTGGTTGAGAGCGTACACGTGACCAGGTATTTGTTTTGCGTAACACTTAATTTTGTTGATGACCGGTCATTATTAAATGCTAATTACCGGTCATTAGTAAAATCATGTTATAAAACAAATAATACACATCATTTTGTTCGGGCATTAGTAAACTTGCCCACACTTGGTACCTTCAAGCCGATAGCCGAGGGCGTTTATACTGTTTTGAAGGTACCAAGTGTGGGCAATTTTACTGATGCCCGTACAAAATGATGTGTATTATTTGTTTTATAAGACGACGTTTTATTTTTTTTATAAAATGATGTTTTCTAACATGATTTTGATAATGACCGGTCATTACCATTGGATAATGACCGGTCATTACCCAAATTTCGCACGATTACGCGTTAGGCGAAATAAATGCCTGGTCACGTGTACGCTTTCAACCAATCATTTGATTAGGATCCACGTCATCTTATAATTTGTATTAAAAATAGGTCAGTCCCCAAATGCATGTCAGACAGCCGCTGTTATCACCATCACCACAATATGAGGCACTGGAGTTTGGGACGGGAGTCGTGCAGTCTGTATAATAATAGTTTTTTTTTTTTTTAAGCATAATGGTACATATTTCCATTGCAATCAAGGGTCATTTCGCTACCTAAGTTGATTTTGATAGAAGACACTCTCCCAATTAATTTTATACTAAAATGTCAGTCCCGTGCCATATATATATACCATGAAATAAATACGCCCGCATTCTGAAGTCTGGTTTAGTTAAACCCGGGTTTAACTAAAACAGACTTCAGGTTTAAGTTTAATTTCAGTTTATGAAAGCTAAGTTGAGTTCAAACCGGGTTAAAGTCTAGTCTAAACTTGAACTCATGTTAAAAGATAAGCCAAAGAGATGAAGTCTTCTTCTACTGCACAAGCTCAGTATAGCTTACCCTTCTTCCAGGGTAGGCGCTGCGAGCTGGATTTCGTGCTACAAACTATAATTTCAATTCAAAATATCTGACACAATAATATCTTTTTCGAAGCAACCCGTTGAAGGTTACGGCGTGATTCTCTGTTTTGTTTTACTGTTGAAAAAGTCTGAATCCAGGCTGGAATTGGCCTTTATAAATATTTAATAAATATAAAACATTTCTGCCCATGCAGAGTTAGTAGTAAAAACTTCCGGACCATCCTAAAAATGCTCTAAATAACATTAAAATGACCAAAAGGGATATTAAATAAGATCAGAAATACCTTCTTGATGCGGAATAACTAGTCCAAGATCAACATTGGAGCTCATTTGGTCGAATTGTAGGCGCTTTTCAGGAATCCTTTTTCTAACCGGTGTGTACGTATGGCGGGTGAGAAGTAGAGGTATCGCGATCCACTTCTCATGAATGGTACAGGATGGTATGCCCTTTTAAGTAATTGAAGCGACGCCCAAAACAGGCGCCACGTAATCAAAAGAGGAATTTCAAAAACAAAAATAGCTCTCAGAATAAAAAGGCAGAATGATGTATGGGATTTATGTGCAGGGTCTGTACAAATCATGCAAAAAAAAAACTCTATTGATCTGCAATAGACTTGAACGGTGTTTTGCAATCCTTTAAAACAGATAATAAAAGTACGACAACCTTTCACCGAGATGCAACATAATAGCGGGGAATAATCTAGTCCAGAAGGCTGTAAGCTGCTACCATTGGTATTTGACAAATGAAAAAGACGTGTGTCATTTTTTAACAGGACAAAATTCAAAAGTACTTGCAAAAATCCTTATTTTCTACGATACTTAGCAGTGTTGAGCACAAAGTTTTTAGCCAAATGA